CACAAATCATGTACTGAAACTAACTTTATTTGGAACATAAAAGATCTATAAAACATATAGAACCATATAAAAACCTTTTCAGTCTTTCACATTAAATTCCAGTGAAATATATTTATGTTTGTGGTTGTAATGTGACAAAATATGGAAAAGTTCAAGGGGTATGAATACTTTTGCAAACCACTGTATGTAGGACAAATAGTTCAAAATTACAGCGGTATAAAAACTGAAGAACTCTTCCTAAGACAACATGCCTTCAGGGGCTTCTTACTTGTACCACAGATAGAAACACCAAAGTGATTAGAAACAGACATGCGGTGGGTGGTAGAGAGTGACAATTCAGTCAATCTAAGCTTAACAATCAGTAGCACAGTGGTAAAAGCTGTCACATCTAAGGGAGAACATTACAGGATCACCTCCTGGCCTTTGCCCTCTCTAGGTTTTCTCCCATAGACCAAAAACATGCTTGCTATATTAATTGGTGACTCAACAAGCTACAACAACCACCCTGACTTCTCATGTCTGAATTGAAAGATGTAAGGTGGTTGGTCGATTTTATTGAAAGAAAAACTGAAACATATTATAGATAGATAAATAATAAATTTGGATTTGTTTTTCTGTGGGTGGGAAGAGGTGAGCAACCTTTCTTTCAGTGCAAGAAGGTGGTCCTGATGTTAAAATGTTCAGGAACCACTGAGTTGTAGTTCAGTTGCCTCCAGTCATAATAAGAAAAAAGATACTAGAAAAATTATATCTACATTGTTCAAATGTTGTGTGAAATGGTTGGGAATGTATTCAAAAGGCTGGTTGTTGAAGTAAACCAGAATACTTTTTAAAGGGAACTAACAGAGGACACTGTAGGAGCAACAAACTGAGGTGGTTATAAAAGTAGCAAAAGTCCCAAAAGAAAACAATCAAAACTTGAGTCTCACCAGCATTTGTCAGTGTTGGTAACAAGGAGAAGGACAAGCTGGCAAGATAAAAAGATGGACTAAAACAGAGAGAAAGAAGAGTTCATAACTAACCAGACAGCAGTGGAAATGAGAAACAAAAAGGTATAATCAGGTGGGGAAGTAGCTCCAACCCAGAGAAAAAAGGTAGAAACGTCTTTTAATGTAATGTAGGAGATAAATCTGAAGAATCTGACACAGTACCCACATAGCTGCCAGGATTGGGCCAGCTCTGGTGTCATGCTGGCTCTCCTAGCTGACTGCTGGCATTATATGTTATTTATCAACCGGACATGGGCCACGTCTGGCAACGTTTTAAAATGRCATGCCACAACTGGCCTGGTTGTGGTTTGGTTTGTGTGGTGCTGGCCCATGCATGGACCGCCTCCCACATCTGGGCCACCAAAGGGCTGTCAATCATTGTGGTACCTGGACTGAGCATTGGTGTGTTAAGTGCAGACAAATTTTGCATGTGAACTTTGAGGCCCTGAGTTTTCTGTTTTCTGCTTTGTTTCTGCTTTCATTCTTTAAATTTTTTTAACTTATATCAATTAGGTTTATTTTGCGGAGTCACAAAGCTTACATTTCTTTTTCAAATTCATAGTCATAATAATAATTTAATCTTTTAGGTCTAAACATTGATAACATTGTCTCTTTCAAGACACTTCTAAAACTCACTTTTTCTCTCAAGCGTTTAGCTAACCATTTCACCATTACTGCCAGCCTACCTCCATTGTGAATGCTTCGCTAATCTTTGTTTTCTTTACTATTGAACTTAAGCCATATTTTCTCTCCTGCATTCATTATGTTTTTGTGTATTACTGTATATTTTGACCTTGTGTTTGATTTACAATTTTAGAAATTAATTCCTGATTTGATGTTTCAGTTTTCGTTGCTTATGTGTAATTATGTTTTTCTGTTTCATTTTATTCCTTTCACCATTTTTATATTGTTAATGATTGTACAGCACCTTGTGAATATATTTCTGTGAAAGGCGCTTTATAAATAAAACTTTACTTACTTACTTACTTACTAAATGCAGTTCAAAATATATATTTCCTGTCCATGACAAGAACAGTACTGCAGCCAGTGTAGAATATTTATTTGTGTGTGTTTTTCAGAAACGCACTGAATGTAGTGAAAAACGACCTGATTGCTCAGGTAGATGAGCTGTCGTGTGAGAAGGAGGTTCTGCGTGGAGAGCTGGACACAGTCACTCAGGCCAAGACCAAGTTGGAGGTGAAGAACAAGGAGTTAGAAGAGGAACTCAAGAAGTGAGTTGATCTCAGAAAACAGTTTAAAAATGTTCACTGCATGAATTGCTTTGTATTGATATGTTAGCACAAGACTTATTTGGGTGATTTGTTTCAGAGTTAAAGCAGAACTGGAGGAGGCCAAACAGAAGGTCAAGAATGACAATGAGGACGATGTGAGTTTTTGTCATTTTGTGTCCATGAGCATCTCCAGATGTGTAAGATTCAGACCTGAACTCATGATCGTGTTGTGTCTGCAGAGCGATGTGCCCACAGCTCAGAGGAAACGCTTCACCAGAGTGGAGATGGCCAGGGTCCTGATGGAGAGGAACCAGTATAAGGAGAGGCTGATGGAACTGCAGGAAGCCGTCAGGTGGACGGAAATGATCCGGTAAGACGGTAAAACAGTTTTTATACCAGTATTCAATTCTGACTGGACATTACACAAGAAATATGTAGAAGGAAATCCTAAAACCCAGAAGGGCAGCAAGAGGTTCTCGATAGAAATCAAAAAGTCGTTTTAATCAGATTTTGTGTTTTTCTCTCAGAGCTTCGAAGGAGAATCCAACTCTTCCAGAGAAGAAGAAATCCAGCCTCTGGCAGTTGTAAGCTCTTCCTTTCTCTCTATACAAGCTTCTGAATACCAATGTGTCTTGTAATTTATGTCTTTTGTTGCATTTCTTTTGCCTTTTTATGGTCGTTTTCTTCAGGATGTAGGTAAATCTTGTATGGTTTTGAATATTTTCGTCCTAATTTCAAACACTTAACATGGGAGAGCCACCTTTTGATGTTAGCTCTGAGAGTGGTCTAGATGAAAATTTAAAGATGGATTTGGAAAATCAAACCTTTTACAGTGATGTATGTGTAATAATTATCCACGCTCTCCTTTGTTGAGTTTTAAGGAATGGATTTGGTTTGAACTTTTGGTGTTATTTGGGGCAAAACAGGTGGAAAGCAATGGATTCTGATACATCTACCATCTCTGCCTTGTTTCTGTGTCCCTTTATATTCTGCCTGATGTTGTGACGTCTGTGTGCAGGAGGTGTGTTGGGGCGTGGGGTGGAGGGATTGGATAGGAGGGATGGCAAGAATATAGACCTCTGATTTCTTATTTATAAGAACAGACTTGTAGTTTCATGCAAAGTGATCCTAACCTGATGCATTTACTGTAAAGAACCGGGGAACTAAAGAATTCTCTAGACGGGTTTGTTCTGCTCTATGTTGTTTACTAACGTCCTAGTCTGCATATTATTAACGCCCTGCCCTCCTTGGAACAAGTTTTCTAATGCTTTTCCATTTAAAAACAATTTATAAAATCAAAACAAGTTAATGGGAATATGTGTATCAGTCTGTGTTGCAAATTGGCATGAATAAAAAACCCTTTTACCCTTAAATGATAAATCCCATCTTACTGCAGGAGCTACCGCTTGTGTGTACCCCTCTATACGTTTGTCTGTGTGTGCTTCTTTTTCCTTCTCTTCCTTTTCCTTCCTCCCTACTTCCCTGCCCTTACACCTCCAGTTTCAGCCGTTTGTTTAGCTCATCGGGCGGAGCGGGCAAGAAGCCAGCGGCGGAGGCTCCAGTGAACGTCAAGTACAACGCACCCACCTCCCAAATCCAGCCCACCGTCAAGAAGAAGAGCAGCACCCTGCAGCAGCTGCCCAGTGACAAGAGCAAAGCTTTTGATTTCCTCAATGAGGAGTGAGTTTTTCTCAGAGTATTTCTATGAGAACAATCAGATAAGCTATAGGAATGAGAGCAAAGCTTGCTCTGAAGCTGAGGCTGGCATTCTGGTATAATTTCTATTTTAATACCTTAAAACTTAGTATTTAAATGGATTCTTAAAATTTGCTCAATAAACATTTTTGACACATTCTGTGCAGTACTGTTTACACTTCAGATTGAATAACTGTAGTAAAATATGATGTGTTTTTAAGATCCTCCCCAATAATAAGGGTGATTTTTATTATGTCTACTTCTGTAAGGTTATTTTTTTATTATAAAAAAAACAAAACACTAGCATTTGGCATTTGTTTTCTTTTTCGTGTTGCACCRAACCGTGACTTCCTGAACCTTTACATCCCTCAGGACCATTATATAAGACATGAAGACCAGGGGACTGTCCACAAATGCTAGAAACAAAGTTATTGAAAGTTTGCAGTTCAGGGTTGACACATACAACCAAAAGTTGAGGTTTTTAAAACAAAAAAGACATTCTCATGATTTTTAAAGAGATTTTGTAGATTGGAACAGTTTGAAGACAGCAGTAATCTGCTTTGATCTGTGCCCCACTCAGATTATTTGTCTTAATTTGGTCAGTTTGAATTGAACTCCTTCACTGCAAAAAATGTCCACCTAACTAAGAAAATCTTATATCCAGCCAAAAAGTCTTTTTGATCTTGTTTTGAGACTGATTTACTAAACAAGAACTGATTGTGTAAGAATAATAATCTTGTTTTCAGAATGTGTAAGATTATTTGTCTTGTTAGTCTGAAAATTTGACTCAAATTAAGTCAAAAATTTCTGCCAATGGAGTAAGAAAATTTTACTTGGTAAGATTCTTGAAATAAGAAATATTTGAGTCAAATCAAGTATTTCAAGAATTTTACCAAGTAAAATTTCTTACTCCATTGGCAGAAATTTTTGACTTAATTTGAGTCAAATTTTCAGACTAACAAGACAAATAATCTTACACATTCTGAAAACAAGATTATTATTCTTACACAATCAGTTCTTGTTTAGTAAATCAGTCTCAAAACAAGATCAAAAAGACTTTTTTGCTGGATATAAGATTTTAAATCTTGGTAAGATGGACAGTTTTTGCAGTGTAGGTACATTACCTAGACTTTTTGTTCAAATATCTACAAAATAAAACAAAACTACACTGCAAAAACTGTCCATCTTACCAAGTTTTAAAATCTTATATCAGCCAAAAAGTCTTTTTGATCTTGTTTTGAGACTGATTTACTAAACAAGAACTGATTGTGTAAGAATAATAATCTTGTTTTCAGAATGTGTAAGATTATTTGTCTTGTTAGTCTAAAAATTTGACTCAAATTAAGTC